TAGCGAGTCGTTGCTGTGTTTCCATCAGCTTTTAAGGCTCCAGACGTGGGTGTTTTGTAGCAGCCTGGTGGCAGCGATAGTGCCACGTAAAGCTGTTGGTATTTTACTGAGACATTGCTGCTTCTCCCACCAGGATTGTGCCCTCCAAACAGGGTATTTAAACCAAAAATTGATCTTTCCCTAACCATAACCAGGTGGTTTTTGTGCCTAAACACACATTAAGCATTTCAGTGTATCCACTACATAATACCTTTGAAAAGTAATGTATCTGTAGTTTGCAGAAACATTAAATGCCAACATTTTTTATGGCCATTGGGTTGCCTGTTTACATTTTATAAAGGCTTAAAGTTATGCATAATTAAAGGTGTGGCCAAATTGATTGACACGCTGTCTGCGGATACTGTCCTCGAGGCTTCAAAATGGCACTCCACAAACCAATGGATGACATGGTGGCTACGTTCATTATTTCTATGCAGTGTATGGGATTGACCAATGAAGGGTGAGTCATTAAAAAACAATAAAAGAATATAACAGTTTAAACAGATGAGCCACTGAAGGGAATAAGAGTTTGATTGCTACAGTAAGTTCCTAGTTTAGTCTTTCTAATGCTTAAACATTAATAGTAAAGAGCAGCTACAGCAAATGGGAACTAAAATATATATACTAATAAAGCAGATTACATTAGACATAAAGACCTGCCTCTAATAAGTCTGTGTGAAATATAAAGGTCTGGTTCTCTTCTTAGTTCAACTATTTAAGGAGTGTAGTGTATAGAGTATAACTGGATAGACAGCTCATAACATAATCTCAAAAATCTTGTGTTGTCTCTCGCCCCACCCACACCTGTATAGATCTCATCTGACATCTAGTTAACGGTAAGCTTGTGTCCTGCAGAGAAGATGTATTCATTGTTATCTCTTGTAGTGTAAGCTCTTAATTGGTGCAGCAAATTTAAAAGAAAATGGACTATTAATGGTGAATATGTTCATAAAATGAATTCCAGGAGAACAGTATTGTTTGTGCAGTTTTGTTTGTGAAAAGAATAATTGGTATTTGGTGGTCATTAACTCTCCACACACTGCAGTAGCAGCCAGAGGCTTGCCCGAGGGTGCCTACTCAGAGCAGTTTCTCATCTGGAGATGCATTGAACAAAATCAGCACCTGTCTCGCAGCCGGCGTTAGACAAAGCCCCACGTCATTCACAGAAGTGAGGCTAATAACACAGTCAGGCCATTCAGGCTCGCTTCATTGTGTGTCAGAAAGGCAGTAGAGCTGTTCAATACAATCAAACACAGAGCTGTTAGTCCCTCGGGCCCTGAAGAGTAAAAGAATCGAGTAGCCCGCTGATTGACGTGACTCTTTCAATCCTGACGAATGTTTCTTCAGCTTCGGCAATAATCAGTTTGCTGTGAAAAATATCATCAGCCAACAGGGCTTGGTGAAGAAATTACTGCAGTTTAACACAAACCTGATCATCTTCCAGTGACCACACAAACCAAAAGCACATGCTCAGGTTTCCTTCTAAGACTTGTGCGTCATGGACGTCAAAGCACGTTCTACAGATTCACGAAGATGATGTTAAATTATTGCTCTCTCATCTCCTTTTATGTGTCAACATCTTTTTTGTGTGCTGCTTGTCTAATGGGTAGTGTTCATCTAACAATGTTGAAGGACAAGGCTGGCAACATATAATTTTGTTATTGTCAACAAATCCAATGAAAGGACCAAAACCAACAATATGTTAGTCAGTTTCTCGATACTTTCCCAGTGCCCTACCCTGTGTGTGGCAATAAGCCTTAAGCCAGATAGTTATAGAAGATGAATATATACATCCACATTTAAAACAATGTTAAATAAAAATGTAGTCTTTAGCAAATGTCATTCAAAAAGAAGTGGGTAAGTTGCTATACTGCTCAAAAAAATGAAGGCAACACTTAATAGTCACAGTATAACACCAAGTCAGTTAAACTTCAGAGATATCAATCTGTTCATTTAGGAAGCACAAGTGATTGTGAACCAATTTCACCTGCTTTGGTGCAAATGAAAGTGACAACAGGTGCAATGGAGAGGCAAAAGCAAGACAACCCCTAAAAAGGAAATGGTTTGACATGTGGTGGCCACAGACAGTTGCTCCCTCCTCATCCTTCCTGACTGATTCTTCTCTAGTTTTGTGTTCTGCTAGTGTCCTTGTCACTACAGCACAATCAGGTTGCACAGGTAGCCCAGCTCCCCCAGGATGGCACATCCATACGTGCGGCAGCAAGAAGGTTTGCTGTGTCTCCCAGCACAATCTTAAGAGTGTAAAGGAGATAGAAGGAGATCGGCTGTTAGAGCTGGACTGGCCCGCAGAAGGGCATCAACCCAGCTCCTTTGTGCGAGGAGGAACAGGAGGAGCACTGCCAGAGCTCTACAAAATGACCTCCAGCAGGCTACTGGTGTGCATGTGTCTGACCAAACTGTCAAAAACAGACTCCATGAGAGCCGGACGTCCTCTAGTGGGACCAGCTTGATTGGCATTTACCAGAGAACACCAGAATTGGTAGATCCAACATTGGCACCCCGTTCTCTTCACAGTTGAGAGCATGTTCACACTGAGCACATGTGACAGGCTTGAAAGAGTCTGGAGACACTGTGGTGAATGTTACGCTGCCTGTAACATCATCCAGCATGAGCGGTTTGGCAGTGGGTCAGTGATGGTCTGGGGAGGTATATCCTCGGAGGGTCGCACAGACCTCCGTGTCATTGCTAACAGTACTCTGACAGCTGTTAGGTACCGGGATGAAATCCTCAGAGTGATTGTCAGATCTAATGCTGGTGCATTGGGCCTTGGGTTCCTCTTGGTGCAGGACAATGCCCAGCCTCATGTGGCCAGAGTGTGTAGTCAGTTCCTGGATGATGAAGGCACTGATGCCATTGACTGGTCCTCTCATTCCTCTGACCTAAAATAAATTGTGCACCTTTGGGACATTATGTATCTGTGCACCCGCTGCTGCTAAGTACCGCCACAGACTGTCCAGGAGCTCACTGATGCTTTGATCTAGGTCTGGGAGGAGATCCCCCAGGATACCATCTGCCGGCTCATCAGGAGCATGCCCAGACACTGTGATTTTGAATCCAGCCCTCAGTGGGTTGATCATTTTACTTCCAGTGACTGTTGTTACATCGTTTTGTTCTCAACAAATTATACAATATACATCAGTAAAGATATTCAACTTGAATTATTCATCAATAAAGATCTAATGTGTGATGTAAGTGTTCCCATGGATGGAGCTCTACTGCACAAAGAAAAAAGACTGATAAGGTTTTGGTTTGCACAGGCAATGCTTGTTGGTCTTTTTATGTCTTTTTTTATTGACAATAAGACAAATATAGCATTTGCTTTGTCCTTTAAGTCTGGTTTCTGTTATTAGAAGGTATGTACGTGACATACTAATGTGTTGGGGTTAAGTGGGAACAGAAAACATCCTTCTGGTAACATCAGAAACTCAAAAAATGTTTCAGATTGTCAAAGTTTCAAATCAGTAGAACCGAGGTCAAGTCAACTCTCCCTTGATTCTCCCCATGCATCAAAGTTTCTGAAGAATAAAGTTGATAAAGTTTAGACTTGACCTAAGGTCTTGTACTTGAGTTAGTTTATTTATGTGGAAAAGAAAACATCACGTTCTCCTCTTACCAACTCATACATGTAAAAACAGGCTCATTTACACATGCATCTTAACCTTTCACTTCACTGCAAAATATCAATAATTAGATCTTAAAGCCCAGGTAGCATATTGTCTTACATCTGCAGACTAATTATTGCAAGATGCTGTTTCCTTTGGTAATGGGACTCAGAGTCATCAGCCTTTGAACTCCACATATTGAGCCCTCGGGCAGTGCTCTACCTCCTGGACTGTGAAGCACAGAGTTCAAACTCAGTCAGACTCCCAGACCAGGCTAATCTCAGGCCCCGCAGAAACTCATTATTCTACATAATGTATTAAAAGTTTTGTTAGACATAAATGGAAAGAAAATCATGTCAATTACACACATGGAAGGAGCGCTTAGATTGCCCGAATTCTCTACATTCTCCATCGTCTAACTTGTCAACATTGAGGAGCTGAGACTCCAGACAGGGTAATTACCAGCACAGATATGTCCCAGCTCAGTCATGGCAGCAATGCCAACACTTTTGCTTCCCTGCACTGAACCACAACAGTAACTAATTAGCATAGACACTACCTTTCTGATCAACACAAAGCATTCTCTCTTGTTTCCAATGACGCACCATGAATTTAAATGAGCCAATTAGCGTATGCATTTCCCCTGGTATCGAGTTCACAAAGTCTTTGATTGAGATTCTGCTGCACAGCAATACAGCAGAAAGTTCAGTGGCCCTGCAGACCGCTGCGGCCGAGAGGGGTGAGCGTCACATAGTCAGCTACAGATTCATTCAATATATGTAGGTGGTGGCGATAATAGTCAGTCAGTTTGATAAAAATTAATCAACCATTCACAAGAATATATTTTTTAGGCTTATTATAGTTTTTAAAGAGAATTAAGCATTTATTTAGTTTTGATATAAAAAGCATTTCTCAGAAATCACGTTCAAAAAAATCTTGGCAGTATTTTCTTTGAATAAATATATGCTTTTTGCAGTCATGCAGTATATTCATAGTTTTTATGACTTAGAGCACTGTGGCTGATTAGCGGCATAATCAGCAGCTCTTTTGCATTTTCTCCCCGTTTTTCTCATCATTTTCTGAATGCATATTCTGCATTGTCCTTGCCATGAGAGGACCTTGTTCACTTTATCCTGCATTGAATATTGAATATGAATATTATATACATATAATGTAATGCTTCTCGCAGTGGGAGATGCAGCAACTTTTAAAGCGTGGGCACATAAACTCAGAGTTACTACTTTAAGCTAGTTTACTTTTAATAATAATGAATGTGGTTTCTCTTATCTAAAAATGTCTCCTTTTCTTTTCTTTCTTTTTTTTTTTTTTTACAACCAGTTGTTGCAGGGGAAGTCCATTCCTAAACTGGGATCACTGGACCAGATTGAAACAGGAAGTGGAGATTTAGAAGGACGTTACAGCGGCGACTGCGACGATGAGGACGGCTGTGGGGGTTCAGGTGGTGGTGAGGTTCAGAGGAAAGTCAGAGTCACCAAATGTAAGTCTCATTCTTTCATGATTTTATTGAAAAATTGACCTGTTAACTATGTACAGAAATTGTTACCCAGCTGTTATATTTTGCCATAAGGAGGTAGAATTAAATGGAGACATTTGAGTGGGAATATATTCAAATTTATATCCTGTAGGACTGGGTGTAATTTGAATTTGTATGCATGTTTGCATTAAGTTTTTATTGGATATCTCTATTAAGATTTTGTATTTGCTGTCCTTGACAAAAAAATCAATAAATTAAACTAAACATTACAAAATATAATTAAAACATGTAACACAGACTTACAATAAATTAGACATAATATGAGAAAGATGCATAAATAAAACCTAACAAGTAATACATATGTATGTTCTTATGCTTTTCCATAGATGCATTAAATTATGCCTTTTACTCTTCTGCCTTTTTAAAGTTGAATTTAAAAACTAAATTGAGTTTTCGATCAGCAAAGGCATTCAAAAGTGCAGTTGCATAATCCTATATTTTAATAAGACTTGCTCCAGTCTCCATTTTATGACAGCCATAATAATAGTCATTAAAGATAATAGTTGCTATGGGGACATTATTGCAATCAAGGCCCGTTACTTTAAAAATTATTGCTCCTCAGAGGATCGGTAACCCCTGATGAATCACAGTGGCGCAGCTCTCCTCCTCATTTTGCTACCTGTCACACTCTCTTCTCAGCACATGGATTCCCCCTCTCCTCTCCTCTCCTCTCCTCTCCTCTCCTCTCCTCTCCTCTCCTCTCCTCTCCTTTCCATCAAACATGCTAACAACCTGATTAATCACCTCTTTCATTTTGCCTATGGCGACAGTGAGGAAGGGGGGGGGTCATCCAAACAAGCCGTTCTATCCGTGTAAATGTTTCCTTTACTGCTTGTCAGTCTGTCTCGAGGCTTCAGCAGCTCAGGCTCAGGGAAGCTGCTTAACAATCGTTCATCTGAGGCTGTGGGGAGGCTCTGACATTTATCACCCATTACAGTAGAGCCGCCCTTTCCTTGTCATGGGCCAGATCAGCCTGTCTCCCATATTTATGACCCACTGTCTGTCATGACCTCTGTCAAGCATCTGTCCACTGCTTCCCGACCCTCACACAAACACAGAGAGGCTTCCCCACCTGAAGCAGACCTCTGGTCAGTCCCTAGTTTATTGCTACAAAATGGTTTGATTTCTTTTTTAGTGGCTGTTGGGTAGTCGGTATTTTTCCTCCGAGTGTTATTGTTGTAGTTGAATTAAATGAATTAGTAAAATGTACAAGCCAAGGATACAGCAGCACTAAAAACATGTTTTATTGCTCTCCCTCTCACTGAAAGAGTCTTACACAATATAAAGCAGCTTGAAAGTACAGCAAATACTTAATGTAAGTACATATCCATTATATTTTATGAACAGGGATAAAAATATGCCCTCAAATCATACTGAAGGAAAGCACTGCTCTTGGACTCCAGTCTTAATTGGGCTGTACCTTTAGAAAACAAATAAAATCAGTCCACCTAATTGTAGGTGTAGATTTTGGGGGACGCAAGAGACATATCCCCTTCAATAATTAGAGCATTTGTCCCCACACGTAAAAGCACAAAGTAGCAGAGGACTTTTACTTTGATGAAATTTAAGATATTTACACCATAAATTGATGCAGAAAAGGCACAAATTGGTGCATAGAAGTTCAGCTAGTGTTCGATGCTTAAAATCCTCTAGTGGAGGACCACCAGACCCCTCACATGTGCCCCCCCTCTGATGTTAAACGAAACCTACACCCTTGCACCTTGTGTTTTTGTGTTTATCAGCAGGCAAAACTCAAATAGAAAGTTTATTCCAGGAGGTTTGCTCCATAACACCTCTTCAACCTGTAGGAGTGAGTAAAGGTCACAGATAAACAAGCAACCCACTGTCCACTGAATCATCTTCCATCCCCATGGTTTGGGACCAATATAGACATGGAACATTGTTGGACACTTACTGGTCTATGACAAAAAATTCATAATCACGTGTTGAATCTTCATTTCACTCATCCTTTGAGGCTGTTTGCCTTCACACAAGACCTGGCCTGCTAATGTCATCAGCAGACAGAATTTTACGAGCCATCTGTGGTTGAGAAGAGCTGAAGTTCGCACAGATATCTGTTACAGATTTAAGGCCTTTGCACACTGTGTCCGATGTGTTTCTTAATCCGTCATCCACAAAAAATCATTACACACAAACTTCCCACACTGATTCTAATGTTTTATGTTTCATCATTCTATTTGTTGCAAAAATTCGCAATATGTGACAAAATGAAAAGACACATTTCCACCTTTGCCTCTCTCCACTGGAGTTACTTATCTGGCTGTCACCACTCTCTCCCTGTCTTGCTGCATGAAAGGGCGGAACTGTCCTCCTTCTCTGTCTCCACATTCTGTGTGTGGTCCACATCCTCCTCCTCTACATCATCATCCACCTGAATATCACCATTTGACCTGCTGAAAGTAAGCTATGTGAGTCATGAAATGATTCTGTGCACCCCGTTCCGCTGTGTCCCGCTGACGCATTTTCCTCACTTGATTCTCAGTCAAATGTCTCTAAAGGCCTCTAACCGATGCAAAAAATTAACTTGTTCCAGAAACTTTAATGATGTACGAAGGTTTCTGACTCAGTGTGCAAATGTGATTGACACAACGTGAAGTCATATTTATTTTTAGATGTGCAACAATTTCAGAAGAAAACAACCGACTCAATGTGCAAAGACCTTTAGAGCCCTGACACACCAAGCCGCCAGTCAGCTGTGAGTCGTTGTGGGGTCATTGGTGAACATCTGTCACCCTAGTTTTTTACAGTGTGTCCCACACTGTTGGCTCTAGTCAACCAATTCAGCATGAAATCATGCATATTGTCAGTTTGGCTCTGTGAACATGAAGAGAAACGGAAGTGAGCAAAGCAAACAAATAACTTAAGTCAAGAGGGTGTGAGATCGAAACAAACTTCCTATATCAGGAAAGATTATTTTGTCAGCCGTTGAGCTCTTCAGCAGAAATGGGGCATAATTATGTTATTGTTTGGTATCCATCCATCCATTTTCATCCGCTTATCTGGAGCCAGGCTGGGGGGGCAGCAGGCCAAGCAAAGCACCGCAGAAGTCCCTCTCTCCAGCAAAGTTTCCCAGCTCCTCCTGGGGGACCCCACGGTGTTCCAAGGCCAGATCAGATATGTAATCCCCCCAGTGTGTTCTGGATCTGCCCCGGGGCCTCCTACCAGCGGGACGTGCCCGTAACACCTCCAATGGGAGGCAGCCAGGAGGCATCCTGATCAGATGCCCGAACCACCTCAACTGACCCCTTTCGACGTGAAGGAGCAGCGGCTCTACTCCGAGCTCCCCCCAGATGTCCAAGCTCCTCACCCTAACTCTAAGGCTGAGCCCAGCAACCCCACGGAGGAAACTCATTTTGACCACTGGTATCCGCGATCTCATTCTTTCGGTCACTACCCAGAGCTCATGACCATAGGTGAGGACTGGGACGTAGATGGTAAATATCCATTGTTTCTTCAACATTGGGTTGTGTTGATAATGTGCTAACTGGCTAACTAGCGTCTTGAGTCCGTCCTGTCAGCCTTCTTGTTTCCCTTTTTTAATGATGAATACAGACTACCGCTGTGTGCTGGTATTGAGAGTTATTTCTGCTCCTGCAGGCACAGAATATACAAGTACATGTCTTTGTGGTGTGTTCAAGTACAGCTTTTTGGTCAAGACACAGGCAACAGCCAGCCTTTGTTGCCATTAGTTCTCTGAAGTCATTTCGGTGTGTCTGGGCCTTTAATTCAGTTCTGTGATAGACAAATAGTAATCCTAGTTCAGTCAGCCAACTTACATGGAATGGATTATTATGTGAATTTTGGACATGTACAGCACTGATGTTTGGCTTCTGACCTTGTCATGCCCCACAAGGAAGCACTAAGCTCAGCACGGCTGGAAGTAGGAGTGATGATAACTTCCCCCTCGGGTGAACATAAGCTGCCAGTTTGCTTCATGCTTGTTGACGTTGTATTGGGAAGACTGTGTTTGACCATTTCTGCAACTTTCACAACATTCACATCCAGTTCACACCTTGACTGGCCAACTGTGTGCAGGTGAGAAAGTCAGCTGGGTTTGAACTTTCTCCCGCTAGGTCTTGTTTGTCACGCAAGTATTTGTGGCACTCTGCGTGTGAACAACTGAGAGCAACGCATTGAATGCGTTCCAGGAAGGACAGTCAGAAAATGTGCACCATTATGCCCATGTTTGAATAATTCTGTGTTGCCCTCTCTCAGTGACAGCTGCCTTTTCATTTTACCTTTGAGTGTGGCGTTTAGGATTTCCAATGGTGTTTGGACAGCATTTCTTATGAACTAGTTCTGTTCAAGCAAAACCTGACTGAAATGCTCAGGTGTATGCTGGGGTGTATGCTTTGCCTTCATCTGCAACTCAACACTCTAATGCATGAGACTGTTCTCCCAGAAAGAATGACAGTGTCAGTACATGTTTGTGTTTAAGTGACAGAGCCCTCTACTGCCTGAAGTAATCATTGTGACAATTGTAAGTGAAGTAAAGGGGGAAGTAAGGTGATGTGATTATAGAGCAATATACTCCTTGATGGGAGAAGGGTGTGGCGAGTGGATGGGTCAACAAAACACATAACAGGGGAGACCGCGGGTGGTGCAAGTTTCCAACTGATAGTCAACATTTTTCTTACAAGATATAAAAATGAATATGACCTTTCCATAACCTTAACTAAGTCATTTTTATTGTAACCATGACAACGAAGACCCCTAACCTTAATGAAGTAGTCTATTTAACCCAAACCACGATGTTTCCTAAACCTAAACAAGTCATGGTTGTGCCTTAACCAAACCAAGCCTTAAAGGGACTTTATGCAGAGTCAGAGTGTATGAGTTGTCTGCACATGGTTCTCAACATGGAGGTGGCTGAGCCCACAGCTAGCAGCTTATGGTGCTAACTTTATAAACAGTGCTCAACAATGGTAGCAGTGCTGACAGAGCTAAGTGTCTTAACAAG